TCGGGCACCCACGAGGACAGACGGCTCAGGAAAACAGCAGTTGAACTATGCCGAGATGGCTGCTCATGCCTGCTTGCAGCACTGATGAACCTGCACCCTGCAAGGTGCCAAGAGAACAGTTGGCTATCCTGTTTTAGAAAAAGCAGCTCTTCCCCACTCTGGGACGTGTCCAGGGGGTTTGACTGCCTGTAAAAGGGCTTATCCGCTGCTTTGAACATTGCTCAATTGGCACCCTGGCTGATTCAGATCAGGAAGTGCTCAAAGTTTTTTTCCAGTCATCCATCAATGCCCTGTTATCACAGCCTAACGAAATAAAATAATACAACAACGGGGAAACAATAGTTGGCAGCAAAAGAGGGCACTTATGCCACCCTGACCTCAGCAAAGGCGTCACAAGTCTGAGTGGTCCAAGCAACTGCTGAGAATGGCCATAGCTACTGAGCTTGCATGCAGGAGGTCGCTGGTTCAAACCCCTTTAGCCTCTCCATGTAGTAGGGAAAGGAAAGGACAATACTCAGCTGGATGAGTCATTGGTCTGGCTTGGTATAAGACAGCTTCCTCTGTTCCTCTGCTGACCATCAATTCCCACACATGACACCTAAGCAACTCAGAAGCTTCTGCATCCTGCAAGCTGCTCCAATGCACTTATGTTTACATTTTAAAATCTAAGTTGCTCATAGGGCTTTGGGTAACAGGCAACTAATGAGTCAAACAAATTAATAAATAATCCCAAATACTAACTGGCCAAAATAGGAAGCACAACAGCTTCACATTTTCCAGTCCTGACAACCCTTCACATCCCATTTATCCACTCTGATTTACTTGAAGAATGAGCAAAATGAACCAACCTGCAGCTTCCTGAGGCAGAAGGGAGAGGTCTGTGCCAGATGACCAAGAAAAGGATCCTAACATTCGTTAGGTGGAAGAAGTCATGGCTTGTAAAGTGAAACCGACTTCCAAAGAGTATCAAATTGGGTAACCTCCTGTGGGTGGAACGTCCCGCTATCGGACTTGCTGAGCTGGTTCTAGGAGTGCCACTGTGGTTTTGAGGAAAGGGAAGCTGATGGGTCTACGATGTGCCAAAACAAGATAACCACTGCCTCCACCCATCCATCCACCCACCCAGAGAGGCAGATGGGAAGGGAGCCCTATGCCCAGCAAGGGTTCCACCATTACCAGGGGCAGCAGAGAAGAATTAGGCAAGCATGGTGGTCACAGCCTGGAATAAGGGAGCCTTCTCTCTTCTCAGTCACAGGGTGGATGGGAGCAGCAAAAACAGCAAAGTATTGTGCCTCCTTGAAGACCAACAGATTTCTTACGGCACAAGCTTCAGTCTTCTGCAGTCCATGGAAGCTTATGCTAGAAGAAATGCTGGTCTTCAAGCGGAAAACAATATTGTTTTGTTACTATTTAGGAATATGACCCTCTTGTAGGATTGGGTGTTGGTCTGGATATTATTTTTGGGTCCCCTCCAAGCCTGTGGCTTGATATCTGTCAGATGGGATTCTGTAGAAGGAAGTTCTGAAGTGGTCAGACTAGTCTCTTTGTTAAAAAGCTGACAGCACTAGCCAAGTCTCTTAAGCATCTTTTTTACATGACAGAAGAGCTGGCCAAGTACAGGTGCTTTGTTGCCAGAAACACCCACCTAGCAGGGCTTCCACAAGGAGGGTGCAGACTCTCCCTCACTCGCTAGGACCACAGAGAGCAGGTTCAGGCCATAGTAAAAAAAAAAACCAACAATGTTTGAACCCCCACAGCAAGGGCAGATTGGCTAAAAATCTTTACATGGGATATACAATAAATGTGTTCTCATTTTTATGTTAATAATAGATATATAATAATATTCATACTTGCTGAGGGTATTAAGATCCTAATGGTGCCAATAAAGTAAGCAGTCAAGACAATCATTGCTGAACCAGCCATGCACTTTAAATGTTTAACTTTTATGTGCAGCCCACCACAATGTGTATCACACAACAACTTTGTTGTATTTGCTCAGCGTTCACTAAGGAAAACATACTAACGAGACTAGGCATAATACAATGAGACTGCAGTCATACTGTCAAAGCACAGCAATGAATGTTCATATAGAATCAGAAGTGCTTAGTTCACGGCATAAGTTTGCAAGCCATTATACAGAATTGTGCGTGCATCGATCATGAAATATATACTTCGTTAAGAATTACGTTACATAAAACCAGTGCTGTTTTTCTAGAAAAAGAGGTGCTGGAGCTCATCACGAACTTTTCCTTTGTTCTCTTAGAATGGCAATGGCGCCCACCTGAGAGGTGTTGGAGCTGAGCTCCAGCTGGAAAAAAAAAATTCCAGCATAAAACATAGGCAAGGTAGTTGGGCCTCAGATCCCCTTTCCAGATCTCCAGCCCTGGTAATTTGTACCAGTTCCCACCCCACCACCACCACACTTGTCACCTCTGCCCCTCACCTGGCTGGAGGCCACTTCAGCCTAAGCATAGGAGAGCAATTGGTCAGAGGCCAATCTTTGCTTGAACTGGGAAGGCACAGTGGCTTGACACACACACACTCTCTCTCTCTGCTGAAACCAAAATGAGGACTTTGAGATCATCCTGGTAACCTAGCAGGGAAGCAAAATCTGCTGGGGGCAGGGAATGCTGTGAGCCCTATCTAATGCTCAGCATAGACATATGTGTAAATAAACCTGTATCTCACCAAGACACTACCTTCTCCGGTGACCTTTGTTCCTAGGAAACCTAATCCGAGGTGGGTGCTGCCAACCCTAAAGCCTCCCACCACTTGAAAAGATTTAGGACGCTCACTTTGTTTCGTGTTTACTTTTCTCATAGATCAAGAGATGGGGTGTCAATGCTGTGTCACATGCTATATAATTGGTTTTTTTCCCTGTAGTAGGTGATGTGCCACCTCCTTGACTTTGCAAGCAAAGTTGGGGGAATCTTTCAGGGTGGGACAAAGCCTGGTGAGAAATTGGGAGGGTGGTCCTGCTGGACAGCCCATGGGCATGGTGTTCCTGTCCCTTGTTTCAAAGAGCTCACAAGCATCCTCATTTACCTCTTTAAGACTTAAAAGACTAAGGGACAGAGCATCATCCCCATACTTTTCTTGAGCTTCAAAAACAGTCTCTTTGCAGCCTCAGGGAGTGGAGTCCAGAGGCCTGGGCAGAAGGTTGCCCTAGAGACCTTGCCGCCGGTTAACTCTTCTGAGGCTTGATGATTCTTTCCCTTCCCCCTGGACACTCCGCCCCAGCTGGCAACACACAGAGACCCCTTCCAGCTTCGGGTTTTCCCAGAAAGTTTCCCATATTTCATGCTTGTGGAAGTTTGTGCACAGCTGTTCTGCGCTGAAGGAAATTGCCTCACCCAAGTGACACAACAGATCACTTTCAAGAGGCCTCATCTGGGCTACCCTCTTCCTGCTGAGAACCATGGCCAAGGCACAGGGAAGGCAATGAGTCAGCCAAGCCAGGCAGTGTTTGAGGCTACAGCCAAGGAGCAAGGAGCAGGCATGTGGGAACTAGTCCTCAGTGGCAACCAACCCTTATTTAATCCGCCTTGAGTTTGCACCAAAAACAGCATTCTGCTTGTCAGCTGCAGCAAAAACAAGTCTCTTGCAGCACCTTATAAACAAGTGACAATAAAATAGCTTGTCTTTGAAGTGCCAAGAGGCTGCGCTTTTGAGATTGTGGCATTATGAGGGGAGGGCTGCCAAACCAATACACAGGCTTAATTGCCGCATACAGGGCTGCCCCTTGGAAGTGGCTAGCTGGTACAGAATACCACAGGCAGATTACTTATTGCCACTGGCTGCTTGGAAATACACAGCACTGGCTTCAAAACAAATCCAAATTGGCTTCAGCTGTTTCCAGGCACAATTCCAGGTGCTGATTTTTGACCCCTAAAGCTCTGCATCGCTTGGGATGGATCTGAGCTCCCAGGAGAACCTGCCTGTTTGTTTAGAGTTCAGTCAGAGGCCTTGCCACAGGTGCCCTTGGCTGCAGGTGTCAGATGAATACATGGCAACCAAAGACATCCCCCCCAAGGCATTAAGCCCCCCCCAACACACATCCCAGTAACACTTGCCCTGATACTCATATGATCAGCTTCCAGCCACCAGGCAAAGGTTTATTCTCCTAAGCTTTTAAGTGGAGCAGTCCATTTGGGGGGAGGGGGAGCCTTTTTTGACGTTGCAATGGTTGGTGACAGAAAGCCTTTGCCAATCAAACACAAATCTCCCCAGAGAACTACCAGGAGATCCTCTCCTCTCCCTTCTGACTGCCCGTGTCCTGAAGACATGATGGCAGAAGGCCTGGCATAAGTTCCTCACTCCAACCACCCTTTGCAGAGAGATGCCCAGGGCAGAATTTGCTGCACTTCCAAAGGCTTCCTTTGCTTTGAAAGCTTATCCTAAAGGCGCCACCTTCTGGCAAAACCAGGCCAGTGAAGCAAAGGAAGAAAAAAGAGGGCTGTTCTCAAAGCCTGTCCAGTCAAGGAGCCTAAGAAGAACCTGCTTGGTTGGACCAAAAGGGGCACATCTAGTGCAACGACCTCTCCCCATAGTGGCCAACCAGATACCCCAAAGAGAAGAAGCCCACAAGCTGGTCCTGAGTGCAAGAGCAGCGTTTTCTCCATTTACGATTCCCAGCAGCAGGCATTCAGGAGCATACATCCTGTTCCTTACAGAGAGGAAATAGGCATTGTGGCCAGGAAGGGCAAAATTAAGGGATGGGGGGGGGCAGCTAATGAATGCCAACTTTTTAGCCCCCAGCCTAGCCTATGTTGCCATAAGGATTCAACCTTTCCACAACAATACACCATTAGGGATCTACAGTGGCTTGGCTCATTGATGCAACAAGAGTCTAGGAAATCTCCCCCACAGCCACCTGGTGGTCTTTCTGGGCCCAGAGGAGATATATTTAGATCAGGATGGAGGGTTGTCGCAGTTGCCCAAGAAACGGCCAAGGAAACAAACTTTCCCCAGACTCCCCCCACAGAAAGAGGCAGGCAGACTGGGGGGAAATGGAAATATTTTATTACAGAATGTATACAGAGCATTGAGCAGAGCTGAGGTTCTCCTACCAGGCCTTTCCCAGCTCCTGCCTGCTTAGCACAGGCCCAGAGGCCAAATGGCAACTGTTTAGGACTTCCTCCACCAAGCTGCTGCTGCCCCCAAAAGAGCAGCTGAAGATCGCATCCTGTAGCCATCTTTTGGAAACAGTCAGTGTCACCAAAACTGAGCTAGATGGACCCAAGGGCTTGACTCAATGTAAGGCAGTTTCCTGCGTTCCTATGTACTCAAGGAAAGGCCTCCGCCCACTTTTCATCTTGTACATACAGAGAGATGACCAAACTCTACCACCACAATCACGTGTAAATCTCTAGTGTGAAATGGGTAAGTTATTATGCTCTATAGACTGTTTTCAGTATTGATGGAACAACCATCAATACAACCAGTTGTATTTTATTAAATGTGTTTATTGATTTCACACACACACAAAAAGTTATTTACGAAATGGGTCAGCCTCCATCAATAAGGGTCATGTTCCATCCCTTGGTACAATATATGACAAATCTATTCAGCTGGTCCAGAAGGATCAGACTGAAGAGTGGGCGATTATTTATGTATGCAATGACAGCAGCGCGGATACTATTGGCTCAGAGACGGAAAGAAGATGAAGTCCCGACCAGAGATGAATGGTTGATAAAGATGATGGACTACACCGAAATGGCGAAAATGACTGGGAAAATCAGGAAGATAGAAACTTTAATAAGGAATGGGGGGAAATTACAACACTGTAAACAACTAAAAACTTTGGCAGAATTTGAATAATGTGTGTAATGTATAAAAAAACTAAGGTAAAAAATGGACTATTTTAAGAAAAATAGAGAAAATATAGGATGCAGCAGGAAAAGTTTGATAATGGAAACCATGGAGGAGTGGAGGGAAGTCTAAGGGTTCAAGGAATCCTAAATGTTGATGGTTATGATTAATCTTTGAATTCAAATGTACAGTGTAAAAGTGAATAAAAAAGTTTTTTTTTAAAAAAAAGAGTGGGCTGAGCATGGGCAGGAATACGGGAGAGAAGCAGAAGGAAGGAAGGTGTTGTCCGAGCACCCAATAAAAGCCCCATGAAGCTAAATCCTAGGCTGCCTCTCAGATCACCAGCACATGATGGTGAATCCAGCTGCTGCTCTGAGGAGGAAGAAACAGTCCACTGAAAGGTAAGGCGTGTGGCACCAAATGAGAACACAAAGCAGAACCGTACCAGCAGGCTGCCTTCTGCAGTTGGTACCACTAGCCATTCAAGCTGCTATGGTGACACAGCCATCGCCTGCTGCTTGCCCACAGCATTTGGTACTCAGAGATGGAAGCTCCCTGTTCCAATAGCCTATTTCAGCACTGTGGCCAGAGACACTGACCAACCTGTCCTCCACACTTGTGGCTGGTCAAGCTACCTCCACTGCTCCTGGTGGTTCTCCCACTGCTTGGCGCTCAGTGGCTGGCGGCCATCACTTTCTTTGGTCTTCCTGAAACTGCTACCAGTAATTTTTGGTATGCTGCTGAAAGGCTGAGGCTTTTGCTCCAGGGGCTGGGGCAGTGCCTGCCGTAGAAGAGCCCACAACTAGCCTGGGGGTAACGTTTTTCTGATCTGCCACCCTCAGGCACCCAGGAAGAATCATGTAAAGAAATTCAGAAAGGCTGCAGGAATCCCAGCCCTGCTGAGAGAGCACACACCACTCCCTCCCCACCCCAAGCATCCCCCTCCTTCCCCAGAAGCTTTGGAAACAGAAGAATAGAGAAGAGTCCAGGAGCAGCAGGGAGTTATTTGCGTCCTCTCAGTTCTTCTTGCCTCAGTCATCCTGCAGAGAACAGCAGCAGTTATTCCAAGGGACCCCGAGACAGGCTTTGTTCCCACCCAGGGCTCCAGGCACAGGCCCCTGAAGTCAGCCCCAGGTCAGTCTGGCTCCTGAGCTGGAGCAAATCCATGAGTTTCCAAGTCTCAGCCCGTGCCAGAGAGAACCCCCTGCCCTGGCTGCTCAATCTAGAGTGGTCATCCACATACCCATTCGGCATCTTCCGCACCATCCCCATGCCCTCGGGGTTCATCAGACGGCTCCCCGTGATCCTTGAAAGCCAAGATGTTGTCTGTCCAGGAGGCCCCAGCTTGCTGGTCACCAGCAAAATTGCACTTGGTCACTGTCCCCACATCCAGCTTGGCTAAGGAGACTGGAAAGAATAAAAAAGTGGCAAGAGCTAAGTGGCAGCGCAGTTGCTTGGCATGGGGGTTCAATTCCCCATGGCACCTCCAGGTAGGGCTGGGCAAAAGTCCCCTGTGGAGAGCTGCTGCCAGCCAGTGTAGGCAGTACTGAGCTAGATCGACCAATGGTCTGATTCAGATGAAGGCAGTCTCCTAAGTCCCTGAAGTTTCTACATGGAATATAGACTGGAGGAAGGAGTCTAGTCACACCAGGGTGTCCCCTTCCAGAAAGTGTTGATGCTTTGGCAAATCCAGGTCCTATCACGAGGAAGGCTCATTCCCCAGGCTGGCCCAGCAGGGATGGCAAATGGGTAAAGGGGTTGACCGGGGAAAAGAGGATTTGGGGCAGCAGCTCTGCCTGCAGCACTTACAGACAAAGGGTCCATCTCCCAGAGTCCTCAGGCGGATCTCCATCCCCACCTCCAGCTCCATCTTCTCCATCTCACTCTCAGGCAGCCAGAAGGCCACAGCCTGGCTGGGTGTGTAGGGCTGCGTCACCTTCACCAACTCTGGCTTGGTCACCAGGTGCTCCAGCTCTTCTGGGGTCAGCCTGTCGGTCTTGCCCTTGGCCTCCACCTCTGTCCATCACAACACAGAAGGAAAAAAGACAGATGAGTACAGGGAGGGCCTTACCCAAAGGCCCAGGCACACACACACACACACACAGGAGCCATCAACTCCCAGCTCCTGGTCTTAGGCTGGGGACCACACCTGCCCTTCTTAAAAAAAGCCTCCTACACCCAAGCAGATCCTAGAGCAACCTTCACCAACTTGGTACCCTCCAAATATTTTGGGGCTACAGTTCCCATCAGCCCCAGCAGGGCACCAGGTTAGCAAAGGCTGTTCTACAACCATGCTGGACATGCTCTCAATCTCCCCACCCCACATGGCAGGAGAAATTCATGAGAAGAGGAAAGGTAGATCACATGCTGAGACACCCCAGTTCATTACCCAGGATAATTATTAATATTATTAATATTATTATTATTATTATTTATACCCCACCCTCCCCAGCCAAGGCCGGGCTCAGGGCGGGTAACAGGGCAACCTCCCAAGTCTGTTCTGCAGGAACACTACCCTCTGCTCTGCTACGGCAGACCAAGGAGAGACTTCTGGGCAAAACTCACTGTAGGATGCCATGAGGAAGCCAGTATTGACCTTCCGAGTTTCGCTGAAGTTGGGCTCCACCTCCTTCCCCTTGGGGTCAAATTTGCGGCGATGAACAAGCCTTGGCCTGATGTATAGCACAAAGTAGCGCTCCTGGGGTTTGGGAAGGAAAGAGAATCTGCTCACTCTGAGTCTTCAGAAAACACTATCACTTTTGAATACCACCTGCCAGTGCTATTGCCACTACTGGATGTAAAAAAACTGGAACATGTTGGCGTTCACCAGTCAGTGCTGACAATCCCCAGCACCAGCCATTGTCAACAATCATCATGAAGAAGACAGACACAAAAACGAAAACTGCTCATTTCTAGTTTCCAACAGTCACAGAACCAATGCAAAAATTACAGTGGGTTGCGCAAAAAAAATCACACTCACAACTAACAGGAATGAATTACTCTATATTTCTTCCTCTAGAACAATATGCAGGGTATCAGTGTCATACTGGATGAGGGTGAGCGAGCTGGAACCTGAACCAGACAAGGCAGAGCTGCTCCTGCAAAACTGAAAGTCAGATCAGGAGAGTTGGTTTTGCATGAGGCTGCACTTCGAGTGAAAAACCATGGGGTTCCTTGCTTAGGGGCTGCTCCCTAGATTCTTTTCTAGATCCCTAGAGGTGTTTTTTGTTCAGCTGAGGTTGGTGCATCAAGCCCACCTCTGCTGCTCCTGGAGGTGTCAGCTCTGGCCCTGGTGAGACATGCCTTTGTTACATCTTGTTTGGGTGACTGCTACATGGGTGACTCTACGTGGAGCCGTCCCTCAAAGATTGTTCAGGAATTGCTTCTGGCTCAGAATGCTGCGGTCAGGACCTTGACAGGGGACTCTAAGGTGACAACAGCTACCATTGCCTCCCAGACCATTTCCAGCACAATTCAATGTGCCAGTTGTGACTTATAAACCCCTAAAAGGCTCAGGGATAGACTCCCTGAAGGGCACTCTACTGCACAGCCCTGATCTGGTATTGCGGTCTTCAAGAGAGGCCTTTCTATCTGTCCAGCCAACATCTGATGCACACTGCTGGGAACTCGAGAAAAGAGTTTCCCCAGAGACTGCATCCAGAGGCAGGGGGGAGGCCATATAGTCCCCTTGAGGACGGACTCCATTTAGCCAGGATAAATCTTGATTCAAACAGGTGTTTGGCTCACTAGGCTGGTTTGTTTGGCTCTGTTGCTGTGTTTAAATATGTACTTCTAAGTTAACTATGCTTTCAATTAACTGCCTTTTTCTATATGCTTTTATCCAGTTTTATTGCCATGTTGTCTATAGACTGATCCTTTTTTATTGCGGATTTTATTACTGTTAATTACCTTGGACGAAGTACTGTTAGTTACCTTTTGATGGAAAGGCAGGGTATCAAGGTAACAAACAAATATCCAAGGAGAAACGTCAGCAATGCAATCTGGCTACATGACATAACCTTCAGATTGTGTCAGTCCCCTCCCTTCTCTCCCCATCTGGCAAATAATCCAGTCCACCAGCAAGGAGGATCACCTGCTCATCCTCTCAGGGTGGGGCAGGGCAGGAGGCTTAGGACCCAAGGGCCTCTCCTGTTTTGAGGACAGACTCCAGTTCCTAATCTCCCCCCCACACAAAAAAACCCCTTGGATCTGCAGGTTATTCAATATTATCATCAAAATGTGCACTATGAAATATTCAAGGCAGCCTAAAATAAAAATAATATGCATTAACAGCCAAATCTGATGAAAGCAGCAGCAACAAAACCATCTTTTTTGGAAAAAGTCCACTGAAGCAACGCTGCCTTTACTGCCCTTCTAAAAGTGATGAGAAGCAATCTAGTCAGGCCAAGGAATTTCTGCAGGGAAGTTGTTTTAAATCTGGGTGCCACAACCACAAGGTACATACTGGCTTTATTTCTGAAGACTGTGGGACTCCCAAAGCAGAGTCTCAGCAGAGGAATAAAGTTCTCAGACAGACTTGCATACAGGGAGGCATTTCTTGAGATATTCCAGTCCTGGGTGCTTTAGGGTTTGATGATGATGATGATGATGATGATTTATTATTTATACCCTGCCCATCTGGCTGGGTTTCCCCAGCCACTCTGGGCAGCTCCCAACAGAATATAAAAAAAATCAAACATTAAAAACTTCCCTAAACAGGGCTGCCTTCAGATGTCCTCTAAACATCAGCTAGTTGTTTATTTCCTTGACATCTGATGGGAGGGTGTTCCACAGGGCGGGCACCACGACCGAGAAGGCCATCTGCCTGGTTCCCTGTAGCCTTACTTCTTGCAGTGAGGAACTGCCAGAAGGCCCTCGGAGCTGGACCTCAGTGTCCAGGCTGAATGATGGGATTGGAGACGCTCCTTCAGGTATACTGGGTAGAGGCCATTTAGGGCTTAAAGGTCAGCACCAACACTTTGAATTGTGCTCGGAAAAAGTGCCACTTTGAATTGTGCTTGGAAGCAAGTGGCAATAAATGTAGATGGAATGAGACTGAAGTTAATTTGATCAGAATGACTGGCCCCATCAAAACCATAGCAGCTGCATTCTGAAGCTTCTGAAGGGTCTTCAAGGGCATCCCCACATACAGCACATTACAGTACAGTGGTGCCTTGGTTTATGAACTTAATCCGTTCCGGAAGTCCATTCTTAAACCAAAGCTGTTTTTAAACCGAGGCGCTCTTTGCCTAATGAGGCCTCCCACCACCAGTGCCCTTCCACCGTTTGGCTTCTGTTTGTAGACCGAGGTAAAGTTTGCTAACCGGAACACTACTTCTGATTTTACGGAGCTCTTATACCGAATAGTTCGTAAACAGGGCTGTTCTTAAACCGAGGTACCACTGTAGTGTAGTTTGGAGGTGACAAGACCAGCCTTGGTTTCTTAAGAAAAGAGCACAGCTGGCATTTAAGACACAGCTAGTAAAAGAAACCACTCCTGGCCACTGGTGCCACCTGGCCATCTAGAAGCAAAGCCAAAGCCAGCTTTCCCAAACTGCTGTTTATTGCCCTCATCCCGTCTAACACTGCTACTTAGCAGGACCCCATTATCTCTCCAATTCAAGGCACACAACCTCGACCTGCCAGGAATTGTGAGAACTGATATTTTTTTGTTATGGCAAAGGAGGTTATGTATCTTTTACTCCCACACCAGGATTCGCAGGTGGGATTATTGTATTTGTGGTGCCGACACATCCCTTCATTTCCCACAGCAAAGGCAGCATTCTGAGTGGTGCAGATGGCAAGGAGAGGGTCACACGAACCGCTTCAATGCAAACTACCTCCCAGTGTAATGCCGTGAACAAGTGAGAACTAATTCATGGAGGATAACACTATCAATAGCTTTTTGTCTTGATGGCTGTGTCAGACCTCCAGCACCAGAGCCTCAGAACAGGCTATGGCTTTCCTGCCCTGCACTTATGGGGCTTCTCAGAGGCACCTGCAGGGGAACAGGAGGCTGAGTGCTGGTCCAATCCAGCAGGATCGCTCTTCTGCTCTCATTAGAAGCCTCACCTTTTTGTCAGCATCATCCAAGATGAGATGGCGGGACACATCCAAGAGCTGCCCCTCCACAATCACACCGTCACCACTGCAGGGGAGAAAAGTTAGCAGGGGAAGAACCCCAAGTGAAAAGTTTGTGTCATTCGCCCCACAATCCCCTGGGGTTATACCGTATCAGGGAATTTTGATGCCATAGAGAGGAAACTTATTTTTTTCACTTCTCCATCTATGCCATTCCCTCTCTGCCTGACCTACCTTACAGGGCTGTTGTGAGAATAGCATTAAAGGGCCCCATAGGTCTCCTTGATTCTGTTCTTGGGTGGTCCAACTTCCTAACTGTCCAATATTCAATGGGTGGGGGAGTCGCTCATTTCTCTGGCTCTTAAGGGGTCATAACTTTCAGATTTGAAAATAAGGGATCAGCAGCCTCACCTGTCCCGGGGACAGTCTACGATCTAACAATCTGGGATAGCAGCGGGAAACGGCGCTGGAAGAAGGGAATTTCCCGCAAAAAAAGGGAAGCTTGACAGCTATGTAAGGGGTTCCTCAAGGATTCATTCTTGGTGCTCAGCTCTTTTCCCTCCACACAAATGTCCCTGGGCGACCGCATCAAACCCGACCCCTCGGCGCCGCACCCCCTCAATCTGCAGGGCGGGAGGCGTCACTGCGCACTCTGCACATGCTCAGAGGCCCCTCCCCGCTGAAGCGGCCCACCGCCTACCGCTGCCAGGAGGCGGGGTCCCAGCGGCCGCGCAGGCGCTCCGTGTGCACAGCCTTGGTGCTCAGGGCGCCCTGGTCGTAAATGCGGCTCATGATGGCGGCGAACGCAGCAGGGCCGGGGGAGGTGGGGCTACGGGAGACAGCGGCTCCGCCCACACCCTCCCTGCGCCTGCGCAGTAGCGGCAAAAAAAACCAAAAACCACCGCCAAGGACAGCACTGTGATCGCCACTTGAGCTGCGTCAGGGCTCGGAGTGTAACTGCGGGAGGGAGAGTGGTAGGATAGAGGCGAGTCGCCGTCGCCGCGGGGTTGGCCGATTCCGAGCCAGGCATTGGTCCGCGGTTCGGCCGGTGAAGGCATTGATTGGGTGATTAAGAGGGAGGACGGATGGACGAAGCCCCGCCCCCTGCACGCGAGAGGAGGAAAATGGCGGGAAAGAAAAGGGGGGAGGAAGACAGGGGCGACTACGCGCTTGCGCACTTTCACTTACGCGTGTTTCCCGTGAGGCGAGGCACCCACAACGCCCCTGAAAGGGAAGCCAGCTCAGGGGACGTTTCAAAGCACGCAGCTGAAAGCAGCTGCCTGAGGCACCGCGTTGAGGCTACTTGCCTGTGCCTCTCCTTGTAAGGCTGAAGCGCCCCAGGTGGGCCGTGGGAAGGGCCCTCCCTTTTCTCTTACCTTTTTGGTAATCCAGGCCCTGTGGCCACAGGTGAGAAGAGCAAGGGGTTGAGAGGACTCAGAAAGTGGCTCTGTATAGCCAGGAGGCTCAGCACTGCCAGCAGCTTTTTGCTTCAAGCTCTCTGGCCTCCATAGTGAGAGTGAGCAGAGAGGAAGGGGATGGAAGTGCTTCAGGAGCCTTTAAAACCTGGCAGATGCAGAGGTGCCGTGCAGAGCACAGAAAAGCCACATAAGGATCCTTTCTGCACGCCCACCCCGAACTCTACTATTATTAAAGGTTAAGGTAAAGGTACCCCTGCCCGTACAAGCCAGTCATGACCGACTCTAGGGTTGTGCGCTCATCTCGCTCAAGAGGCCGGGAGCCAGCGCTGTCCGGAGACACTTCCGGGTCACGTGGCCAGCGTGACGAAGCTGCTCTGGCGAACCGGCACCAGAGCAGCACACGGAAACGCCGTTTACCTTCCCGCTATAAAGCGGTACCTATTTATCTACTTGCACTTAAGGGTGCTTTCGAACTGCTAGGTGGGCAGGAGCTGGGACCGAACGACGGGCGCTCACCCCGCCGCGGGGATTCGAACCACCGACCATACGATCGGCAAGTCCTAGGCACTGAGGTTTTACCCACAGCGCCACCCGCTGTTGTTATTATTATGCACAATTTATTTATATCTCACCTCTTCCCCAAATTGGGATTCAAGGCGGCTTCCACAAATCAAAACGACACAGATTAGATACAAAACGCTAAAAATATACAAAAGGCAGTTGTTAAAAAGCAGTTAAACTAATATAATTAAAACAAAATGAAAAACAAAAATACTGTACACTGTTAAAAGCTCTTTCCTTTAAAAAAATTTCCAAAGGCCTGTTTGAACAAAACAGTCTTCACCTGCTGGCAGAAGGAAAATAAGGAGGGTCGTCCCTCCCCAGGAACCTAAGCAGAGCCTGCTGGTGAGCTGATGGTCCATCTGGTCTAGTATCCTGTTCTCACAGTGGCCAACTAGATGTTCTGGGGTCATTGTGGATCACTCCAAGGACATTGCCCCAGAGTCCTGTAGCAGTAGAAAAGTGAATTGAGTGGTAAGATGTGGGAAAAGCCTAGAAGCAAGGATCATGTTGCTCTTATGTCCATCCTTGGTGCCACCACCTCTAAAAAAAAGAATATTGGGAAAATGGGAATTGTAACCAGAGGGGTCACCCCTTACTTTCCATGGCAGCAGTCCCCTTAATGTAATGTTCTTAAAAGGCCATGGCAGGGGCAAAAGTTTGGCTAAAATTGAGGGAAGTGGAGTGGAGTTTGAGGATTTCATTAAGGCAGTCTTTGCCAACCTGGTTCCCAGCAAGTCCAAAACACCTAGAGGGTACTAGGTTGGCAAAAGCTACCTTAAGAGCCCATTAGCTCTACAGTCACAAGTACAATTCCTTTGTTGAGTTATGCCCACTGGATGGCAAGGAGTCACTTCTAAAGCCCCTTGAACTACCAGAGGGCAACATTCTGCCAGCAGGGGAAAGTGGCACCCACATTAATATCAATAGGGAGCCTCAGATGGCTGCCACTCTGGTCCTCCTCCCCCTGCTCCACCTCCCTTGCTGCAGTGCAGGTCTCTGCATCCTCCATCCCTCATTACTGCTGGTGTGATGATCAATCTAAAACTTGGGACTGCATAAAGTGGAGAGTGGGAGCAGCAGGTTGGGTATGCAGCTGACCTGGGATAACAACCAGCAGACATTGGAAATTAAAATGAAGCTGTGTGGCTGTTTGAGATTAAGGGGGCTACACAAAGTGAAAGCGTCCTAAGCCTGAATGTGATTATTGGGCCATAGGCCAATTACACAAGCTATTAGGCTGCCTTGATGCAGATACAGGCACGTGTTTTTTGCAGCTATTTTCCATGGGAATCCATAGCCAGGGTTTGAACTCAGGATCTCATGTATGCTGAGTCTCCTTTTTCCAGCTTAGCTATGGCTACATGGAAAGCTAGTCTATGGGTCTGAAGGAGAAGAAAAGAGGGGGATACCCTAGGAAATTAATACAATTGCTCCATCATGGCAGTTTCTTCTGTGTCCAGCTGCCTGGAACAAGGGGCCAGGCCTGCAGTCTTGCTGTGCCATCCTTTTCTCACCTAAAACTATTCTTCCCACCCGGGCCTCCAAAATAGGAGCTTTTACATCTCCCTAACGTCCAGGTGCTGTATCCTTTTTATTACGTTGCTACTAATCCCCACACAAGGGGGGCGGTGCCAACCACGGTCTTGCCACTGTCAGCTCCATTATTCCCCCTTTATGTGTGGCATCCCTTATCCCCTGCAAAAGGCTGGTTCCAAACACACTTTGTGCATGGCTGCTGTGGAGGAAGCATTGTTTTGCCAGCAGGGCTTAAATTCTGCATGGGGCAGAGGGCTCTTTGCACAGGCTTCTTCTTATCCACAAGTATCTGGTTGGCTTGTGCAGGGAAAGACAATATAGCTTGTTCTGGTCGCATGGCCAGGGTTGGGTAGCCCCACAAGGTCACCTGAAAATTCTGTGCAGTGCTAGGAGCCTTCCTTGCCTGGCTGAAGATGTGTTGTTGGTGAGCATAATCTTTGTGGTTGGTGGCAGAATTGCCAGGCCTGCTGTGGTGGGTGTGTCTATTCAGTGTTGCTGTTGACTCTGCTGCTGGTTCACCAGAGGAGGAGCGTGACTGTGTTATGCTTGGCAGTAGCTGTGGCCTAGCAGCTGCTGGGGGAGCACAAGGGCTATCTGATTGCCCTGCGTTTGGAGCACTTCGGTGTAGAGGTTTATAAAACTATAAATGAGAAAAGCATGAATGGAGGGCAGTTTTTCTTTTCTAGCAACTAGAACTTGCAGGGTCATCTATTGACAGTGATAGCCAAGCAGGATCAAGAGGCAAAGGCTTGTCTCTGGCTGCCTCACACACAGAACCCATTAGAAGTCCCACCTAACCCCAGACATGGAAGGTTATTAGAGACAATTAGAGGGGCCCTTTTGGGCCACCCCTCCTCACCTGTGCAAAGCCCTGGCTGGGTGCACTTGCACACCTCTCTAAGAGAGACCAGGGTGGGAGATTGGGGGGGGGGGATTCTGTGGTGCTGGGAAAGGAGGGCAGAGAAAGAGAGGGAGAAGCTCTGTGGGGAGGAGGGAGAGAAAAGGAAACTTGGCCAGGGCCGGAGAGAGAGGAAGTGCGAAAACAAAAGCGAGATAAAAGGGGCTGCTGCTGCTGCTGCTGCTCTCGCTCTCCCTCCTCTGCGCCTTTCTTTTTCTCTCTCCCTTTTTCTCAGAGCTGGGTTAGGAGGGGCTGTTTTGCATCCCTTCACGTCAGCCCTGCCTCATTCCCTTCTTCCTTCCTGCTAGAGAGCGAGAGAGAGAGAAAAGAGAAAGGGAACTGCGAGCAAGCGAGGAGCCGGCAGCACCCAGACGAGGATCTGCCCCAGAAGGAGAGGTGAAGCGGCCTCCCTTGCCTGCCTGCCCGTTACCCGCCCCCCTTGCCAAGCCTCTTCGGGAGTCCCAGGGTGAGTTCGCCTCAGCCCTAGCCAGCTGAGCCAAGCCCTCTCTTCCCGGGCCGGAGAGGAGGCGGGCGCCGAAAGCCCCGCGGGAGGCCCGGTGGGCTGCCCCAACCGCTGCCGCCTCTATCCATCCCGGCGCTCTAATGCCAGAGCAGGGAGAGAGAGAAAAGAGTGATGGCGTCTGGAGAAGGAGGGAGGGAAAGAAGGAAGGAAGGATAGAAAGAAGGGGGAGGAGGGAGAGGAGGACGCACAACTGGGCTTGGACTGCGGCGCTTCTTGTCTTGCTGGGGCTCGCAGCACGTGGGGGCTAACACTCGAGGAGCCTCCCCCACATCCTTGTTGCTCGCTTGCAACTTTCCCCTCCTCTTGCTGCTTTACAACACAAAGTTTTGCTCTGCAGGGAGCCGATCCGGGGAGGAGGGAAGCAGGCAGCGGCAACAGCGGGAGGGGAGTCTCGGGAGGTGCCGGCGTGGAGCTGATAGAGTGGACCCCTCTTCGGTTGGTCGCCTTGCAGGAGGAGGCAGCCGGTGGGTTACCTGTTGCCGTCTCTGCTGTGCTTGGCCATAGGGGGACGAGGCCCTCGTTCTTGAACCGCCCCTGGAGAGGGAAGTGCCGGCTGGACTTTCCCATTCTGTGCCTGGCCGCGGTGAACTTTCCCTTTAACAATCCTCCGGATAGGATTGGAGGGGACGGAAAGAAACTGGAGCGGGACGGACCTGGTCCCTTGCATGTTGGCGGAGGCTCAGTAGTAGCGGGGTTTGCTCTCTTGGAAAGCGCGTCGCCTCAAACTGCAGCCTGCGGATAGTGCCTGAAGCTTCTCTGCCTGCTGTTGGCTGGCCTTGCCAAAGAGCTAGGAAGCAGCTTTCCTGGAGCGGTGGCTGCAAAGGAAGGGGGGACTTTGCTCTTTGTCTGCCCATCCCCTGTGCCTTCCGTTAACTCTAACAGATGAGAATGTGTTTTTCCTTGACTGCTTCTGTGGACTCGCATGTGTTGGGATCTGCGCTGTTCAATGGGAGTCATTCTGTGCAGCATCTTTGCTTTCTCTCTCCTTGACTGCCCTGCAGAGGTCTGTGTCATTGAGATGGTTCTTAAACATACTCAGAGGTGTTGCCCATAGAAGCTGCTCTTGCAGAGTGGGCTGGTCTGTGCTCTTGGGCACCTTCCTCAGCCCTGTCCATGTCCCTTCCTCTCCCACTTCCAGAACTATCTGAAGAATTTAGTACTATCTAGATACTTTGAGGAAACGAGTGGTGGGAAAGCAGCAGATGATTCTGTTGATGGATGGTGACCTCTCCAATGATGATTCCCCCCGCCGCTGCTGCCCCCCCCCCAAAAAACCCCACTGGCAACATAAAATGTTTATCTCAGAAATGCTTCAGCTACAGTTGTCTCCTTGAATGGAGGGTATGGTCCTTGCAGTATAGGCTAAACAGTGTGAACAACAAAAACTCACATCTAAATTCTAAAGTGTTATTGGCACTTGAGTATCAGGTATGCACTGTGTGGGGCACCCCAGATGGATTGCAGCAGGCAGCACAGAAAAGGTTGCTTGCTTGCCATCTTCCAAGGACTGTCTCAAAGCAAGTCTGTCCTGGCAGAAAATCAAAGAGTCACCTTTTAATCAATGCAACCTTAGACTTCCGATCTGCTTTTGGAATGGTGTCTGTAACTCTTTAAGCTACATTTGCAACTGGCTGTGACTGTAAAATGACTGCCTGGTGAAGATGGTGCCTCCTTCCTGACATAGCTTGAGAGGAAAACTCTAACAAGGGAGGGTGTTTCATAGGAAGGTAGTAATACCTATGGTATTAGATAAGTTATTAGATAATGTATACCTCTAAAGCAAGGATTTCATTTCCCCATATAGAGTATGTTACTGTTTTTGTTAATAATCGTCATACTTGTATGGAACTGTTACTAAAGCACTTTGCATATATCAAGGGTGGGGAACCTGTGGATGTTCTGGTGTTAAGAACATAAGAAGAGCCTGGCTGCTGGATCAAGCCAATGATCCATCTAGTTGAGCACCTTGTTCTCACAGTGGCCATCCAGATGCCTCTGGGAAGCCCGCAAACAAGACCTAAGTGCAGCAGTGCTCTCCCAGCTCTGTACTCCCAACTCCCATCATATTTGTCCCTGCCAGCTGGAGCTGATGGGAGCTGCAACAACATCTGGAGGGTCACAGGTTCCCCACCCCCGACATACATTATCATTACTCCCTTATGAAACTGAGGCTCAGAGAGAGTACCACGGGTTGGCCTCAAGAGGTCAGTGCCTTTTCCTTATGGAGCTCAGAGATGGTCTACTGTGTGGAATAGCTTGCTGTTTAATAGCTTTTCATGTCATTGGAAGGTGACGTTCCTATGAGAAATGCTTAGAATCATAGAACTGTAGAGTCGGAAGGGACCAAGTTGTCTAAAATGGTGCATCACTTTTCTAAAAGCATGCACATACCTTTCTCTCCTTTTAAAGTTTTCCTTTATTCTTGCAGTAGAAACTTTATAATTGGAGTGTGTCTAATTAGAAAAGATGTTGAAAGTTCACTGGAGACTTTTGAAATGTTTTGTTTTTTTTTTCTGTTTGGGGTGCTACAAAGTTTTCTTGGTGTAGAATTTAAGGTTAACCAGAAAAAAGGAGAGAGAGATTGTTCAGGGCTAAGTTGTAGGGCAGTGGTTCTTGAACTGTGGTGGGGAAGGGCCATGCTTCAGTGGCAGAGCATCTGGATTGCATGCAGAAGGCCTCAGGTTCAATCCCCAGCATCTCCCGATAGGGCCAGGAAAAGACCATCTGAAACTTTGAGAACTGCAAGTCATTGTAAATACTGAACTACATGAACCAGTTACCCAGCTCACTATAGTGAAAGGCTGTAGCTTACTGTATAACAACTGTTTTGCATGCAGAAGGTCCCAGGTGCAGTCCCCAGCATCTCCAGATAGAGCTACGAGAAAACCCTGCATGAAAGCCTGGAAAGTTGCTGCCTACCAGTGTAGAAAGTAGTGAGCTAGATGGACCAATGTTCTCTCAGTATATGGCAGCTTCATATACTTGGGTGGTGTGGAGAATGAAGTTCCAGGAGGAATAATAGAATTGTAGAGTTGGAAGAGATCCTGAGGGTCATCTAGTCCACACCCACCCACCCTGGTAATGCAGGAATCTCAACTAAAGCATACACGATAGATGGCCATCCAGCTTCTGCTTAAAAACCTCCAAGGAAGGAGAATCTACCACCTCCTGAGGCAGACCGTTCCATGGAGCCCAATTAAACTTTTGAGTATACCTGCAGAGCATGAGTTCTCAAACTTTCTACCCCCAGAGCCCACTTGAGACATCTGAAAATTACTGAGACCCACCAGTCACAAAGTGGTAGGAGGTGGAAGCTGAGTTTGGCATAGCAGTTGCAGACATTTTCTGATAGCTAATCCATATTTGGAAATTGCTAGATTCTATGCCATTGACATTTCCTCATGGCAAGGAGTTCCACAGCTCAGTTTTCCTTAAGCTAAGTACAGACATCTGCTCTGATGAGATTGTGAGGTCTTCTCTTTGTTTTTTAGGCAGAATGTGCTAATCTAGAGGCTCTTAAATGCAGAATACCTTCCTTTCCCTTTCCCTTTCCCTTTCCCTTTCCTTTCTCCTTCTGCCCTCACATGCCTCTCAGAGTATTTTTACTCTTCTCCTGTAATTTTATCTTCCATTCTCCTGCCACACCCAACTTGAACCTTATTCCTTCCTCTCCCCCACAAAAAGTGCCATTTTTAATCTCTCCTCTCTAGCCCTGTTACATTCACTCTAACATTCCTTCTCCTACATTCCTCCTCTCTTATCCCCTTCCTTTCTATTCCCAGTTATCATCATCATCAGTAATATGTAATTTTGTAACAACATTTTATCTCACTAGCTAATTTCCTTCAACACCTCCTCCGGCCCTTTCCCATCAGAGGAAGTAAGCCTTCTTCCTTCCTCCCACCCCCCTCTCCTGACCACCTTTAATCAGCATATAAGAAGTTGCTGGTGCTGGTCCAGCCAATTACTATGGCATGGCTAGGTGGCAGAGGGAGGCCAGTCAGGAGACAGTGGGCAAGCTTTGGCTCTGAGGCCGACCTGGAAGTGCTCAGTGTAGCAAGAATGGCCTATGTATGGAAAGGGTTGACAGTCACTGTTTCCTGCCTTGATACCATTATGCTAGGTTCTCCCAGGCAGGAGTTTCACTTTCTCTTGGTCCTCAAAGCAGCTACAGCTGCAGCTTCAAGCATCAGTTAAAGGTGGGGAACCGTTATCAAGAATTCAGGATGTGAAACTGTCTCATAGAATTCCACTGACTTAGCTTTCGGAGCAGAAACACACAAGCATGTGATATTGTAGTTGGTTTCCCAGCAAAACATTTAAAATGCTTTCAGTGTATCCAAGAAGATACCGGTAGTATTGGACCTGTCAGTGAAGGTCTGGTCTGCAGTTTTGGTGGCTATCCCAAGTGATCAAATGCAGGAATGAAAAGGACGGAAGGAAGGAAGGAAGGAAGGAGGGAGTGCTAGAATTACAGAAGGAAGAATGCTAGCTTGTTCTAATTTTATCTTTCCTGTTTCGCTCTCTGTCTTGTGTTGCCTGTGCATGTACTCAAATATTTTACAGTATTCCTGCCACAGACACATTTTCTGTCTTTCTGTTATCTTCACAGATGCGTACTTTGGTGTAATTTCCTTCAAGTTGCATAGACACTAGGTCTTCTCAGTCCCATCAGCTTTGTAGCTGTTTTGCTCTGAGGTTTTCCTTCCTATCCCTTCCCCCTGCCTGTCCAGCTGAAAAATGTTGAGAACTGCTATACAAACCCCCCCCTCAGTTCCTTAGCCATGTCTGCAGTGGGGGGGGGAGTGTTTCCATGGGAGCTATTCCCCTCCCAGGATCCAGTGTGCCAGCTGTTCTGTGGATCTTCTTACAGCCCTTGAGATTAAAGGCACTTTGGCTTCTGTGTGTTCCTGGGTAACAGCACTGAAATTAAAAGAAGTGAGCCTATGGGAGAACAGAGCAGTGTTTCCCTTGCAGAGGTCTTTGTTCACTAAACTTACTCTGCTGCTTTCTTGTTCTCAACAACTAAAATATGGATGTTTTCAAGCTTGCTGTCACATATGCACTCTGTTCTTTGGATGCTGAGTATTATTCCCACCTCTGCTTCTTATCAGCCTTTTGAGTTAATCCCCCTGTCACACCTTTTCCTTTTTCTAATATCATCTTTTTGCCTGCCATTCTGTGGTCTGCAACCACTGACCAATATTTAGACACATAAGCTCCAGAAGTATTCTGATCTCACATTTTGGTCTCATGATCATCTCCGACTGGCTGCCCGTTGCATGTGAACTTCCCTTCATTTTGAAAAAGTTTGATAATAAAATCCAACTTGGGATGATGTGGAACAAGCAAAAAAAGTTTCATCAGAAATGTTCAAAAAAGTTTTTAACAACCCAAGACAGAAGCTCTCCTACAGTTCATGGTTGTTGGTCATTGTGCTTCTGTTGTTTGAGCATAGTTCTTTAGTGCTTGCACAATAGAGTGTGAGCAGGTTGTGGTCTATTGGGGTTGAAGAACTATGCCCCAGATTGTGAAATCTGTGTCCCTGGAGGAATTTGGAACCTCAGGAAAGCCTTGCTGGATTAGACCAAGGATTCATCTTGTTCATCATCCTGTCTCCAGCAGAAAGGTACCCCTGTCCGTACGGGCCAGTCGTGTCCGACTCTGGGGTTGCGTGTTCATCTCGCTCTAGAGGCCGTGAGCCGGCACCGTCCGAAGACACTTCCGGGTCACGTGGCCAGCGTGACAAAGCTGCAGCTGGCGAGCCAGCACCAGCGCAGCGCACGGAAACGCCGTTACCTTCCCACTAGAAAGTGGTCCCTATTTATCTACTTGCACTTAAGAGTGTTTTCGAACTGCTAGGTGGGCAGCAGCTGGGACCGAACAACGGGAGCTCACCCCGCCGCGGGGATTCGAACTGCCGACCATACGATCGGCAAGTCCTAGGCACTGAGGTTTTACCCACAGCGCCACTCGCGTTTCCAGCAGAAGCCACTGCCAAACAGATGTTCCTGGGGAGCCCACAAGCCCAGGCATGAAGGAAAGAGACCGTTCCCACAGCTATGTGGACCCCTTGCCTCTTGAACATGGAGATACCAGTGGCTAATAACAGTTGATAGGCCCCTCTGCCATGAATTTGTCATTGCTACATCTTGAGGCAGCAAAATCTGTGGATTAATTATGTGTTGTGAGAGGAGGTACTGCTTTCATCTATCCAGGCCCTACTGTCAATCAGTTTAATTGGTTCTAGTCTTGTGGGATGTTTTCCATGAAATTTCAAATTTTCCCACTCCCCTAAATCACTTGAGATCTGACCTGGCATGTTTATTGGTTCATATTTAGTAAACAAGTGAAAACAAAATGCCATGTTAATTTTGTGTACTGCAAGTACCTCCAACAGTCAAAAGTAGTTGAACTGAAATATAAGGGTGGGGTGAATCCATAAAACACACTTGCAGCACAATCCTATAATCAAGTTAGGCCAAATGGGAGCTATAAGGTACAGTATAGTGGAAGCCCCACTGTCCTAGCATAACTTGAAGATAGTGTCTGTTGGACTGGAGATAACACCAACACACCTGCAGCACCAGTAGAACTCTTCTAGCATAAGCTCAAAACAATGCTGAGATGTGGATGGAACTGGGGAGAAGCAGAATTATGCTGAACCTTGTAGTGCTTCAGATGTTTTTCCTGCCCCAACGCCAGAAAAAAGTCCTGAACCTCAACGCCAACTTCAGAACAGCTGTATGTGAAATATCACCCACTCAGTGGACTGGAGTAAGAGCCACTGCTCCCCATACCCTCCTGCCCTACTCATGATGCCACAGAATCTAATCACAGCACACCAATATCCGTGTCAAAATCCCAGGGAGAGAAAGACCACAACTCAAATGACGGGGCATGAGACTTTACTGCTCTGATCTCGTGTCATGCATATATAAAAAGAGCACATTGGTAACACTTCTTTCCCAGACCTCTTACAGGTACTTTGTCTTGGGACATCAGGTCAAAACACTCTACTCCCTCTCTCAAACTGGGGAGGCCAGAACAAAGCATCCCTACAACAAGCTACTAAGTTTAAGTGTTGCAGCTGTCTTCATCACCTCTTGCTGGAAGCCTCTTTCCTCTGGACCAGCGAGGAGCAGCATCTCCCACCCAGGCAACGTGAGGGTCAGCATGCAGAAGTGTTCTCTGCTGGAGGGTGCTGATCCTGCCCAAGAACTCTTGCCTTGCAGGATCACAGCCTGGACATAGGGAACAGAACAAACAGCCGCTGCACACATGCTGCAAGCCCCCTGCAAGGGAAGGGGTATGTACTGCCTACTTCTTAGGGGAGACTGAGGCAAGGGGGCTGGATGAGTGCTTAAGTGGCACCACTCCCTCTCTTGCTGTCACCCTCACAAGCACCTCTGCATCCAGGGCCCAGTTGTTCCAGTTGCTGATCACTGCTCATTACTCTCTGTGTGTCTCCCTTCACAGCTCTCTAACAGAGGAAGAGGGCAAGAGGGCCTTCCTTATGCCCAGCTACATGCAGGCTTCCAGGAAAGCTGCACCTGCTGGGATTATCCTTTCTACACAGCTATGAAACCTTGCCCACTTTCCCACCTGACCACCCCACACTTCCAGTTCTTCCTCTGTAAGCAGCACAACTCCTGCTACTCTGTTGTCTGTCATGCAACTTTCAAAGGCACAGGAGCCCAGCTGGGGCAACCACTCTGAAAACAGGCCTATGTTTGTTTAGGCCTCTATCTCACCCCCCCCCCACTTCCCCAAAGGCTATTCAATAAAGGCTATAACTTTGCCATGTGTTGTATTTTTTTATTACTAGGGCTTCACCATGTCTTCCCTATCTCAGTCCTGTTAAGCTGGCCTCAGGACGGGAGAGGGACTAGGAAGCATGTTCCTGTGGGATGGATTTTAATGGATAGGAGAGCATATATTAATTGCAATTTATCTATCCAGGCACCACATGTGTAGGTTGAACAGAGTTTCAAAATCCCATCCTTGGCAGCAAAATTAAAAGCATAGGAATTAGGCTGCAATGTCTTGTTTTGGGCAAGTCCAGCTGGCTTCCCCCTTCTTACCCTGCTTAGCAAAGAATCAGCCAACAACTTGCAAAGTTTAAAAATATAATTTACTCACATAATCTTGCATTGGTTCACAGCAATGGCAGTAGTAAAAACTATGCAGGAAAAAGATATATATACAGTACAACGAGCTTCAGGCATGTGCCTAAAGCTGAAGCAAGCAGAGGCATGTCTGCATCCAATGCTGGTCAAAAGAAGAGAGGAGAGAGGAATAGGAAGCACTATATGCTCCTTCCTGTCCAGGAGATCAAGGGAAATGACACCAATTGTCCTGTCTACCAATTGTATTTCTATGGTCTGAGTATCTGCCTATCAGCAATACAGCTCTGTGGTATTCACTCCTCCTATTGCTAACTAGTAAGAATATGCATTTTTTTAGGTTTGGCTGCTAATCTCCCACAGTTCCTGCAAGAGCTCAGGGCTAATGACCCCTTCCACTCTCTGCCTACTTAGATTCCAAGCATCATTAGGGTGGCAGACCTCTCAGACTGTACAGAGGTCATCAATCAGTGGTAGAGAATTCGCTTTGCATGCAGAATGTCTTAATCTCCAGTATCTCAAGGTAGTAATTGGAATGTCCCCTGTCTGAAACCCTGGAGAGCTGCTGCCAGTCAGTGTACACAACTCCAAGCTGAGTGGATCAAGGTTGTGACTCAATATAACACAGCTTCCTATGTTCCAACTTGGGTTGAGTGCTGCCACTGTGATGTATGAGACAGTCAGTTGAGGTGAAAGGACTGTGAGACCTGCTGGGATGAAAGCCAGAAAACTGGGTCTGTCAGAGAATCAGTATAGTGGCAGTTGCTTAGGTTGACCCTGACATATTCATTCAAAATGCATATATTCTGCTTCATAGCCCTTAAGAGGCTCTCAAAGCAGTTTACAAAATATCCCCTCATTCAAGTAAGTGTGGTACCCAGGAGCAGAACTAACATGTCCATGCAGACCCTGTATGATTCAGTATTTCGGCTAAGGGATGACAAATGTCCTGTGATGTCTGCTTTGTCATTCCTCCTTGTGCAGTTGGAAATCACACGTTTCCCAAATCCATACCATATGCCAGAGGTAACCAGTGCAGTATCCTCCAGAAGTTGAATGGCCAGTGGTCAGGGAAGAGTCCAGCAACGCCTGGAGGACACCATGTTCGCCAGGCCCAGGTGGAACTTGTCCTGTTAGAATAAAGTTATAAACTCAAACACAAAAACCTGCTGGTCATTGGCGGAGGGCCCAGCCAGCTTAGCCCACTGTTACAACCACCCCAACCTCAAGCCCTCCAGATGTTTTGGACGGCAACTCCCATCAGCCCCCAGAAGTTATGAACTGAAACTCCTATTAGCTTCAGCCATCATGGCTGTGCTCCCATCAGCTCCACCATGCTACAGTTGTGGTGGCTGGAGCTGAGATGGGAATTGTAGTTCAAACCATCTGGAGGGTACTGGGTTGGGGAAGGCTACTCTATTATGCATTTCTCAGTTTTCCAAACTAAGCTTTTATGGATTCCTTGTAAAAAGATAAATTTTGATTACAGCAGATATAGGAAGTGTTAGTTTGTGCTCTTGGAAAGTCCATTGTGGTGGCTGCTCCAACCTGCTGAACTTGGCAAATCCTCTGTGTGATGGCTTAAGTTGTCATGCAGACTCTTGCTGATTTGAAATGCATTCTTGACTCCTGTCTTTCTGCAGAGGGGTTGGTTCTTCAAGTTTGAGTGCATGCAATTAATTTTTAAGATTGGAACTTCAATCTCAGTGTTTTGCTAACTTCCATATCAATCAGTTACCTAGAAAAGCATTTGTGTGCTGGAGCTGATGCAGTTAACACTTACTGTATTATATTGCAATGGGTCAAACTGGGACAGTACACTCCAGCTCTAAAGCATTTTCCACTTATTCCTTCACCTTCTGTGTCGTGGAGCTTACCTGAAGAAGCTTGGATCTCCCTGTACTTCCCTCCCCCCAACTCCTGTATTGGGTTTCACATTGTGCAGGGAGGAAGTCCACTGTTGTGAAAGGGGAGAGGCATTGTCTTTGCTGGTCCACAGCTGTGGCTGGTAGATCTGGCTTCAAATGGCATTCCTTTGCTGTGCATGTTTCTAACACTGTATCACAGAGAGTTCAGGTGTGGGGAATAAAGCTCAGACATTCACACTGGAACATCCACAGGAAGTTAAAATGATGATGTGCCTTGTAGGTCTGACCTGCTCCAGGTTAGGGCTGACACACCTGTCTGCCTTGAGAAGCATTGACAACAATGCTATGACTTAAATAGACAGCAGAGGGGTGGTTGTGTTGTGTGAACTTCATTCCCTCCCAGTCATTGTGTAGCATGCGGAGCAACTGAGCAAGGAAACTGCAGCCCTCAACAGACTAGCTTAGCAATGCTGTGTGTGTCAGAAATTACTTTTAAATGCTTTTGTAAACTTACATAGCCTTGTAAGAGAACCAATGATTTACTATTTCCTTTTAAAAACAAATCCTCAGTTGTCTTTAAAGATACTGCCTTCCAAGTGTGTAATTCTTCTGAGTTATGATTTCCATTACTTGAGTTATGGACCCTCCCAAGACCCCATCCCTGCTATTCCCAAAAACCCAATGCTTTTTTATTCTGGTGCTCTGACTCTAGCAATTCTTGGATGGAAGATGAGCCCTGCCAGCATTAACCCACCTGTGAGGAAGGTGATGCAGAACCCTTCCAAAGTTGGCCAGTAGGCCACAGTTTTCTTCCTATTGACCAACCAACACTTTGGTCCAGTTGCAATAAATCTGAAATGTTGAGAGGTTGTTGAAAAATATTTGAGCTGTTTTGGCTGCTTGAGGGTTTCAAGGTTTATTCTCATTCATTCTCTCTGTCTCTCTCTATGACATGGGACCTTTAAGGACCAGGCAAAGGGTCTCATCTCCTCACCAACACACATGCCCAGACAGACACTCTTGTTGTCTAGTTTGGAGGTTCAATGGAAAGCAACTTGTTCTCTGCCAGCTCCAAGGCTGGGTGTTTCTGACAAGCAGGTCCCTGTTTCTGTTGCCTCTGAATATTTTCCCATAAGAGAGAGCCCTTCTCCTAATCTGTAGGAGGCTTTGTTAAAGCAGAAGCTTTCCTCTTAAAGAACCTATTTATTTTTCATTGGATTGTGTGTGCTTTTTTTCAAACAAGGATTCTTACAAGTCGCTTCACCATCCATTTGGCCAGATTTATTTTCTACTAGGTTGAGAATCAAGTCTCTTTCCCTCCACCTCCACTGGAAAGAGGGAGAATGTGGGGGGGGGGGGAGAAAAAAAGACTTTTGCATTGTGGTGATTGGCACAGCCTGTGAATCAAGGGTCATTTTGTGTAGCTGTTTCTTTTCAAGCATTCTCTCTCTTTTTCTTTCTTTCTTTCTCTCTCTCTCTTCCCCCTTCCATGCACAATCTATTCAGGCTGGAAGCATTCTTTCTTTTCAGAGTCTTTTCTGCCTCTCTCTCTCTTTTCCCCCTCCTTTATTTTTCATCTCTTTTCATTCTGTTTCCCTCCACCCCCCCCCCCTAGAGGCTCTTTTTTCCCCTTTCCTCATTCCTCTATTCAGTTCCCTTTTTTTTGGTTGCTTCTTTTAAAATAGCTTTTCTATTTTCAGAGAGGACAGGGAACATGTAGGAAGAGAAGTCGTTTCAGAAAGGAGGAACCTGAAAGTCTTTCTCCATTTATTTCAGCAAATGTTGTTTTTCAAGCAAGAGAACCAAGGGCGACAAAAAGAAACCCATCTTTATTTTGTTCCTGCCTCTTCTCCCACAAACACCCCACCCCCAAATATTCATAAGTGATCACATCTCCAGTAATATGCTAAAATACTGGCAGCTTTGCTTCTTTATTATGTTGCCCTGGGCATTTTGGTGCAGAGACTAGAAACACAAGAGGCATGGCTGCTTTCCTGGATAGACCCCATTGATGCCCCTCTTTGCAACTTCTGACATCACCCATTTCTTTTAGCTCTGCACCAAGAGTTGTGGGCTGCAGGGCCCACTTGGGTGCTGGATGCTGCCTTTAGAACAATTTGTCCTTCATGGTGAACCTTCAGCAGGGAGCTTAGGAGATCTCCATGCTAATGCAGAGAACAATTTTGTGGAAAGCAGCAGTGAAGACTTAAAGTTGTGTAATCTCAAGTTTGTAGATCTCTAGATGTGCATTGCTTAAAGCATTGACTAGCCCCCAATAGCCACATTAATCAGAATTTTTGAGCTCTGGCAGGATGCCACGAATACAGGCCCTTTGTTCATTACGACTTCCCAGCATCTTACCTCCTGAATTTCATTGTTGAATTAGTGCCTTTTAGTAGTAATTGTCTTCTGTAGTATTGATAAACACTTTGCTTTGGGGAAAGAGTGTGAATTCTCCATTCCTGCTGGAGAAGATCAGGCTTGCAGGTGGTGGAAGGAGAGGTATAGTCAAGGGCAGCAAACTGCAACTCAAATACTTCTTCCTGTGCCATTAGAGAGAAACCAAGTTCTTCTGTGAAAGCCTATGATACAAGAGTGCCTGGCCCTTTCTCAGATGGTTCTCCTATGGCAACCTTCCCTAAACTAGTGGCCTCCACATGCCACCGCCCATCAGCTCCAGCATCACATGGCTGGACTGGCCGGGGCTGCAGTCCTACGTCAATTCCTCAGCAAGAGATGGTTGGTCAAGAAATGAAGACAGGAGTCATCCAGTAGACATGGATTTCCAAAGAGAGAAATGGAACAAGTCTTGGGAGCCAGAGTGTTGGGCTAGGTAAACCTCTGGCCCAGTCCAGCAAAAGCCAATTCTTAGGTGCTTATGCTTTCATTCATGTCAGGGCATAAAAAGTCTGAAGGGGGCTGATGTAGATGCTTGTTTTCTGTGATGGAGATGCTCTCAAAAGTAGGAGGGTTGAGAGAACCTGCTTCAAATGAAAGCAAAGGTACAGATGACTAGGGAGCAGGGACACACCTGTCTGGAAACCAAACCTGCACCTGGGTTGGTTGTATGGTGATGGTGATGTGCCTGCTTCTGTGGGAAGCAATCCTGGCTGTCCCTACATAGCAGTTGGATCTGGTTGGTTTCTTGAAGGTTGGCTTGGTGTGAAGAGTGTCCCCGTCAGGTAGGAAAGTGGGTCTTGGTGTGGGTGGTCAGCCCCACACTTTGGGGATTAAAGAGGGAGGTAGCCAGTGAGAAGGGACCCCATCCAAAATCCATACACCTTGCAGAGCCTGGCTTTGAAAGTTTCTTCCACCCACCG